ATGAATATTTCTAAAGATATGGATACAATTAGAAATAAAAATCATAATTTTAGTGAAAATTGTGATATTTGTGGCCGAAGGGGTCATAGTGGGAAAAATTAATGAAAATGTGAATGTAAAATTGATGATAAAATGATATAATTTGTCATCGATGTGGTTTTACAAGTCATATAAAGAAATTGCATGGTAAAAGAAGCAAATTTTAAAGATGGTTTTCCAAAGAGACCACCTGTTTTGATAAATCCAGTGGTACCTATTATTTCAAATTCAAGTGAAAAAGATGTGAGCAATAAAGATAATGACCGAATGTGTTTTAAATGTGAGAAAATGGGTCATGTGGCCATGAATTGTGTTCAATCCGTGAGTGAATTGCAATGACTTCATATAAAAATTGAAAAATCATATATTAATAATAAAATTTGTAATATATATAGTGTTGTTAAAAATAATTCAAATATATTTAATAAAAAAAAGTATTGATATTCAGAGGCCATTATATTCAGAGTTGAATTTAGGCATGAATATTAATGATATTAATAGTGATTCAAATATAATAAATATAATTCAGTTAATGAAAATGAATAAATTTTAACGATTGAAAGAGAAAGTAATCAGTGTTCGTGTCCTCGTGTAAATATAAAATTTGTAGATAAAATTGTTGTTTGACACTGGGGCAAGCATTTCATTAATGTCTAGAGCAAATTATTATAAATATTGGCCTGAGGGTACGCTTGAGAAAGAAAACATGTGCGTTAAACAATTTGATGGGTCCGAAATTTTGGTTTTGGGTAAAATTAAATTAGGAGTGATTTTAAATGATTTAACAATTTTTCATGACTTATGGGTGGTAGAAAAAAATGTAGAAACAATTATGGGTTGGGATTGGATTACTAAAATTGGTCCCTTAAACAACTATTGGAATATTTTTACAACAATTAGTGATTTGATATTAAAAAATACTAAATGCAAAATTATGACAGACCATGTTAAAAATAAAATTCATGAAATAGTAATATCAGATTTAGTAAAAAGGAAAGTGAATCCTTCTATTAATCCTTATATATGTGAAATTTCCGAAAAATTAATGGTTAACTTGGATAATTTTCAAAATGAAACTGAAATTAATGAAAATCAAATTGTTGATTTAGAAGTCATTAAATTGAAGAGAATGTGTGAAGATATATCTATTTTATTGGAAAAATATGGTATAATTTTTGAAGACAATTTGGGATGTCTTAATGATTATAAAGTGGATGTGAAATTAAAAGAGGGATTTTCACCCATTTTTCTAGCATGCCGTCGAGTTCCTTTTGAGTGGAAAAGAAAAATTGGCGACGAATTGGACCGTTGGGTTAAAGATGGCATTATTATTCCGGTGGATTAAATGGGCAGCACCATTAGTTCCAGTGAAAAAGCTAATGGAAAGTTGAGACTATGTGCTGATTTTAGAGTAACTTTAAACAGGTGGGTTGTTGAGTTAAATATTTATTTCCCCGAATTGAAGAAATTTTGGCCAGTTTAAAAGGTGCAAAATATTTTTCTAAAGTTGATTTTTCGTCAGCTTATTTACAATTACCTTTAAAGGAGGAAATTCAAAAATTATTAACGATAACTACACCTAAAGGATTATTTGCGTTTTGCAGGTTACCGTTTGGATTAAGTGTCAGCACCTATTTTCCAACGTACCATGGCATCTGTTTTTCAGGGGTTAGAAGGTGTATTTTATTATATGGATGATGTGCTGATATCTGGGGTGACGCCAGAACAGCATAATAAATGCCTTGAAAAGGTTTTCAAGAGAATTCGTGATAAGGGCTTGAGGGCTAGCAAAGAAAAAAGTGTTCTAGGTGTAACTGAAGTAATATATTTCGATCATCAAATTAATGTTGTTGAAGTGAAGTCACTTGATAAAAATTTGAAAAATATATTTAATATGAATCAGCCAAGTAACAAAGCTGAAGTACAATCTTTTTTGGGCATGGTGAATTATTATCATCGTTTTGTGGAGGATTTTGCAAAAGTGGCATCTCCATTGTACGATTTATTAAAAAAACGGGTTAATTTTGAGTGGAAATTTGAACTACAAAATGCTTTTGAAATTTTAAAAAAGAAAATTTGTGAAGAACCTATTTTAACATGTTTTAATAATGATTTGGAAATAATTTTAGCCGTGGATGCATCCAATAAGGGTGTTGGAGGTGCATTGTTACATATAATTGACGGTAGAAAGACCAATTATTTTTTTTTCAAGAATTTTTTATGAAGTTGAAACTAGGTATTCTGTGATTGAACAAGAAGCCTTAGCGGTTATTTTTGGGTTAACCAAGTGTTGTGAATATTTGATTGGTAAAAATTTGTGACTTATACTGATCATAAACCATTGATTCATTTGTTCAAAAAAGATAACAAAGAATGGATGATGTCCCCAAGATTACAACGGTGGTTGTCACTTGTGGGAAGTTTTAATGTGGAAATTAAATATAGGCGAGGAAAAGAAAATAATTTGCCTGATGTGTTGTCTAGATTAGGATCGGATTGTGCAGATCCTGAGATAATTGGTAATATAATTTTGGATAGGGAAGATGCTTTAGTGCGTAATTTATCATACATATTAAAGGGAGGTCCTACAACGTGGGAAGACATTAAATTGAATACTTTGAAAGACAAAGATTTACGCCAAGTGAAATTGTTTATAATGAAAAAACTGAAATTTAGATGGCCCAGTTATATTTTAATTCTAAAAATAAGAAGGGTTATACTCCTGTAGAATTGTTTTTAGGTCGAGGGAACAGATACCTTTAGATTTTCTTAAATCAAGGGGAAGTGCTAGTATATTACCATGTGATAAAAACAACACAAAATTTCCTGTGAGACAAATTATTTGGGCTAGAATATTTAAATAAAAAAAAATGGGAAAAGGGTTGCATTTTAGAAAACATATTAAATCGTGTGGAGTTTATAGATGGAATTAAGGGAATCCGTCATAACGATCAATTGAAAATACGTAGATAAACTACTAATTATTTCAGATTGATGTTATTCTAAAATTAATGTCATTATAAAATTGCGATTATTCCAAAAACAGTGTATTCTAAAATTAATGTATTCTCAGATTTATGCTACTCTAAAAATAATGTTGAACCGAAATTAAGGTGATTATAAAATTAGTGTGTTCTTAGAATTGTGTTCTAATTATAAGGATTACCAATATTATGGTAATGATTATTACTCAATTTATCCTGATAATGTGATCTGGTTGACTCTTAGTTATTCTGTGACTTACTCAATTTATCATGATAAGGTGATTATGAAACTTAGTGATTATCTTAATGTGATTAGGAAACTTAATGTGATCATCTTAATATGATTATATTATTCGATAATTATTTTTCTTTTCGAATGATTTAAGTTGAATAACCAGTTGTTTTTTTTTAAAATGTAAATCAGATAATGAAGTTTATACATGAAAATAGGGGGTATTAAAGCATTATGATTTTAAAAGAATTTTTATTATATAAATTTTTATTTAAAAATTTTTTTTGTAAAGCTAATTTAAAAATGAACACTAGGGAATTGCCAACGATTGACTGTGAAATGTGTTTCATAAAGATCATTATAATCCCGAAGTCAGTGAAAGATTTCGAGAGGAAATAGCCAATTCCATTTTTGGGAGTTGATCTTGTTTTCTTGCTCATAAATTGAAATATAATTTTCGCTTTAATATCTCCATTCACTTATTTGGCCTACCTTATTATGTAACATCTTACGATAATAAACAGCTGATTCTCTCATCCCAAGGAATAAAAAATTAGAGATTTATAATAATTAAGGGGGAATATTTTTTTAAATTAATCGTTTCATACCCGAATACCATAGATTCGTTCTGATATAATTTTTTTTACATAAGATGGCGTTAAATAGATTTAATTTTTTATGAAATAATATTAATATTTTTCTTTTCTAAATTTTTTTAATTTTATTATATTTAGTTATATTTCATTTTAATTTTTTTTTATTCTAATCTTTATTCTTTTAGTTATTCATTTTTTCTGCTTTATATTTTATTCTCATCATTTTCGTTTCTTTTCTTCTTCCAAAAAATTTATACGTCATTGTGGGATATTTAAAAACAATAAATATCGTAATATCGGCCCGAGTCTATTTTCCAATCCGAACTTTTTATTATAAAAATGATTTTATATAAAAATATTTATAGTTATTTCAAAAAATTATTAACTTTTACTTATTTTTCTTTCAAATGAATGTCTTTTTATATATTATATACATTTTTTGGTGGTGATTGGGGTAGTGGATGATAGAGGATGGGGGGAGGATTTTAATCAATTAAAATTCAGATATGGCGGGAAATTTCCCAATTCCCACTCTATGGTTACGGGCCATTTATATATTATTAATCAATTAAAATCCAATCATAACTCAAAAACTATAAAAATGTAACGGGCACTTCAATTCTTAACCGATGAAACATAAGAATTAAGAAATTATTTTTATGATTCAATATCTCCCCTGAAATACTTGTTTTTAAATTTTATTTCCACATTTATTTACCACTTACACTTACAAGGGTTTCCTACTGGAAAAGTGCCAATCAAAAAAAAAATATTATGTGAAAGATCATTTTAATTTAATTTCTCGATTTCACCTAAACTATGCATAGGAGTAATACCTGAATACCGGTAAGAGTTGGAATATTGATAGCAATAGTAATGGGTCTGATGTTTCCAAAAGGATTAATATAATATAGAGACCTACACGGGTCAGATCAAAACCCGAAAATCTGTACAAAGCGAAGGGAACTTGCGCAAATCATTTCAGGCCCGGAAAGTTGTGCAAAATATTATTTTTGCATATGAATTATATAAAATTTTTTTAATCCTTGAATAAAGCAAATACTATAAATTGATTGATTATATAGGATTTTAATTTTTTTTAAAAAAAAAATATAATATAATATAAAAGTATATAAAAATTGCCATAAAAAAGAATTCGCTGCATCTAAATCTATAAAATATAATAATAAATACATAATATATATTTTTTAAAATATGAATTTCTAAAAAAAAAAAATTAGTAAAAGCAAGAAAGAGAGATTTGTGATTGTGTATTTCAACCATTTTTTTTAAAAAAATTATCGGTTTATTGTCGCTAAGCAATTATTGAAAAGGATGTGGCAGTGGGAGAGAGGTTGATGCATTTTAAAAAAAATAGAAATAAATTTGATGAATAATTTTTGGCTTGAAAGTTGATTAGTATAAATATAATAAGAATTAAATAACAAATTATTCGAATTTGTCAAACAAATCGAATAATCTATTACTTGTATACGAATAGCAAATTATTCGATTTCGTATTCATTTTTGAATAGGCTTACTTTATATAAAATATAATTTTTTTCGCTATTTAGCCTAAGTCTTCGCTAACAATTAGTGCGCAATATTATAAACAAACGTGAGTGTCTTTAGCAAATATTGGCGCAAGCGCGTATCCGCGCATTTTTTTAAAAAATTTGCTCGCGAAGACGTAGCCATAAAAATAACACGGGGTTTGTTAAATTTAAAAATTAATATTGAAAAAAAATAAGGAATAATTTATATAAATAATTATTATGGAATTAAAATATTGCAAAAAAAAATAATTTGATTAATTTTAGCGTCCAATTTCAGAATTCAGTGTTGAAATATTATTATTTATTTTAAAAAAAAAATATTAATATAAAATATCTAATAAATATAAATATTTAAAATCTCTTTTTATTATATTTACGAGACGAGTTATAAAATAAAAAGCTATTTTAAAAAAAGTTGGCATCATTCATAGCACACCGCGTTTTAAAAAGAATAATATAATATTTTGGGCATAACAAATTATTAGAAGAGCGTTAAAAGAAGTTGTTTTTTTTATTAGAAGGGCCTAAAAATTCTAAAAAAATATTTTTATCAATTAGGTTCTTTAATATTTTTTTTCATATCAACTATTAAAATGATGATAAGGATGCAGGGTAGAGATGGTATACTAAGAAATTGATATATAATAAATGTGTTTCTACATTCGGGGTGTGAATTACTAGAATAGCTTTAGGAAAAAAAACTAACCACCAAATGGATAAAGAAAAGGCTCAATAATATGATACATTAAGAGTCCAACTATGGTTAAAAAAAATGGGGCATTAGAGAAATTTGAAAAGTTAAATTTAATGCGCAAATTCAGCTATTCATAATTTTTTTTCCTAGGGGAGGACAATTGATAAGAGAAAATAAAATAAATTCATTCAAACAAAAATATAAAAAAATATATTATATATTTAATCAATTTTCACAATTCCTCCCTATTCTTATGACCATTCGTGTCGTAGCGATGGTTGAAGAGGTGCGGAACGGCTGTCATGTTGGCTATAACGGGCGAATCCTCAGTGTCGGAAAAGTAGAGATCGTCACCGGTGTAATGGGTGGGGTAAACTATTAGAGGGTAGGCCGAAAAGGCTACCAGATCACGATTGGGAAAATGTTTTTTCCAATCTTCCCTAAATGATCATTTAAAAAAATATATATTATAAAAGGCTTTATAGATAATTTCTATTGTAATGGTAAGAGGGGGGAGGGGGCTATTAAATGGGTGGATCAAAGCGGTTTAGAAAATAAACTTTGCATTCTACTCTCCTAGAGGATTCTTTTTATCATAAATCCAATTTAAAAAAAATAATATAATGTTTATTAATTTACTCAGGGTGCATATCGAACATTATAGGCAGGTACTCGTCGACTGGCACCATCTTGTTCAATGGGCATAGAGAATCGTCTTTGGGGACCGAGCCCAGCGGGTTTATCGGTTTCGAAGAAGTACTGCAATGACTGAGTTTTTGGGCTCCTGTGTGGGAAAGTGCGTAAGAAAGGGTCCAATAACTGTAATCAGGCCAAACCAAAATATCCGAATCTTTAATGTATTTCTCCCTTTCGGGTGGAACTAAACGCTTCCTTCCGAAATATCTTTATTTTTAAATATTTGGATTGTGAGAGTAAAATATGATAATTAATAGAAAAGAAAAGTATATAAGATTATTTCTATATTACCACCATGTTTTCTCAATAGAATTCAATATATAACTTGTCCAGAACATATTAGTTCTTTTTTATTATCCTAAACAATAAATCCGATATTATCAAGTTTATTCGATTTGTGAATTTTTAATTAATAACCGGATATCCGATCCAATAAATTTTTTAAATCGATAATTGGCGGATGGTTACAAATTTACCGAATGTGTAAAAAAATAATAATTAAATTACTAATTTTTCATATTAATTTTAAGTTTATATTATTTGTTAAATATATTTTAATTTGATTCTGATTATAATTATGTTACATTATGTAAATTTAAATTGCACTTAAGGTTAATTACTTATTTGCTAGTATTATTATAAACTACTTCACTAGCTATAAAAATAAATTGGAATGATGAAATATTATTAATAATCTAATTCATATTTATACTATCTATTTTAGTGTCACGTCTTATTTTAACTTGTAACTCACTTTATATATAGCAATAAAGAAAGAGGAAGAGGTGGAAGGGAGAGGTAAAAAAAATTTCTTCAAATAATTATATTTCTAAATTATGAGATAAAATACTCACATCAGATCCCAATTCATCTTGAGGCGTTCTGGCTCTTTCATGAGAGCTTCAACTTTGGTCCTAAAATCTTTTTCGAATCTGATATCGTCTTCAAATACCAACACCTTCCGGTAATCCCGGGCTAAAACCTAGACGTGAATATAATATATTTACTATATAAAAAAAGGCAAAAAACAAGGAAAAAAATGATTGACCCATGGGGTGGTAAGAAGTGGGGATAAGTAAATCTCTCACCCCCCCCCCTATTTAAAACGCCAACGCCTTATGATGTGCAACATATAATGCATTTCAAATAGTATCGTACACAATTTTCAAATTACTGTTTGGTTTTAGATACCATTTTAAAATAAATGTATAGTTTACGACCAGTTATTTAAGAACTCGGTTTTTTTGCAAGATGGCCGATAAAACCTTGTTACCTAGATAATTAGGAGGGGGGGAAGCTAAAAATTCCTTCGATCTTGAATAGGTTAATTTAATATTATATAAAATGTAAAAAAAATAACTTGTCTCTTTTAAAATAGAATGAAACAATTAATGAAATAAAAAAGGCAGACGATAATATAATTTACAAAAACCAATTCTTTTTTTTTTATTATAATTTACGTTGAATTTATAGTTAAACACGTTATGGTTCGAGCGTTACGTTATTCTACGCTATAAAAATCACAGCTGATTCTTCATAACGTTAATAATTTTTGGCAATATACGTCGCAAACATGTTTTTCAAATTTTATAGTAGCGTTATGATACTAGTATAATAAATAACGCACCACTTGAACATAAAGAGTTTAATATAAATTCGCCAGTTAAAATTTTGAATCGACGATACTAATAAATAACCTCAATTTAAATAAAGGATGCGTTACGTTTTTTTTATTAAAAAAGGTATGTCAAAAAAGCAAATGCTCAATTTTTGAGCACAAAATATAATATTAATAATATTATTTACATCACGTTCGTTTTTAATTGGATCAATGATCAAATTTTTTTTATTCTTAAATTAATTACTCTCCCCGTGGATTAAATTCTTTAAAAAGTAGTAATTATCTATGCTCGGGATCAGTTATATTTTAAAAAAAAAGAAAGAAATGATAGGAATAACCTCTCTCCAAATTTGATAATGGCTGAGGAAGCAACCGATCTCGCCAAGGGTTAACGCTCTCTTGTGGTAGGGATCCTTGTAATTACCGAGCATAGTTATATTTTGCGTCTTCAGGAATGAGTCGTTCAATTTACTATCAATTGTTTTTTTTTTCGTTTTACATATGTTCATCGATTAAAAATAAATACAATAAAGTTTAGATATATAAGAAATATAAAATTTGAGCATTTTGTTGAATGATCTTTCTTTCTTTTCTTCCTTCCTTCTTTTCCCCTATTTTAGTTTATTGAAATTATAAATTAAATTTATTTAAATAATTTAAATAAATAGCAAGCCGCGGCCGCCGCTAAACGCCGGCAAAAAAATTTAAAGGAACCGCCGCAGTCAATTGAGGCTCGGCGTACAGGCTTAGTCATAATATGCGGTAATTACTTTCCATCTATCCCGTTGATTAAAGTCACATCTAGCCCTAACTCATCGAAGCAATTGAGCATTCTTTCTCTCCTCTCGGGTCTTTTTTCTAAATTGATCATGTAAACCTTTTGATTTAAATTATTTTTATTGTACATTTCAAAATGATATTAAAATAGAATGAATGCATACAAAATGTTCGCGCTTTTATAATACAAAACTTAATCTAAATATGATGGCTATCATTTTAGTTTTAATTTTATTCAATGGGTTAACTTTCGTGGCGTTACTATTAACCATTTTAAGAATATAACTCGTGACCAGTTACTTTTCAAAAGTATCTAGTTAACATGTTTGGTTTAAAATAATATATATGTATATCTTTTTATTGTAAAAAAAAACCTTATCAAATCCCATAGTGTTTTTGGTAGGCAATTTAGGTTGAGGAACGAATCTGGAAGCTAGAAGACCAGCTGGTTCACTATCTAATAATACATTTATTTATTTTCAAAATTATTTCAAGCGAATTTTCAATAACCAATCTGGGTTTTTTTAAAAAAATAAATTTATTGAATAAAATAGACATTGATAAAAAAAGTAATGCTTTGTTGGGAAAAATATGGGAGAAGGGGGGGGGGTGGCGGGGCTTACTTAAAATATCCATCTTGAGTTCGTGCATGTATAGCTTGATGTCGTCTAGTTTCGCGTTAGATTTAAGGGGTTCCAAAAGATGCCCAAAGGTTTCGTTGTTGCAAATGTGCATGTCCACCTCTATTAATAAATTACGTCGATAAAATGATATATTAGATAAAACATAAAATGCTTTAATTATTTATAAAAAATATAAAATAATATGTATTTATATGATATTATATACTAGAAGCCTGCGCCGATTTGGCGAATATTATGATATCGTCCAACGTCAAATTGTAGGACGGAAAATTTTCGGGGTCGAAGGTGAGAAAATTTTTGATCACGTGTTTGTCGCCGCTATCTTTCCTTATGTTTACGTTAGTTTTCCCGGGGAAAACTTTTTTCAAATCTATAAGATACGTGGAGTGAATCATGGGAACCTTGAAGCAACCCTTCTTTTCCCTCTTCACAATGGGCATGTAGTCGTCATGGCGTTTGTAATAACCCTGATCATGCGAACAGTATAAAATATAAATATTGGCCAAAATTCTAACCATCTACTTCAATTCTTTTTTTTATCACTTGTTAATTTCTTTCTCTTCTCGAGAGTTAATTAGATAGATTGCATAGTTAATGCCAGAGATCTGCAGAGATGTCATTAGCACCACCTTGCCAGTATTTTTTTTTTAAAAAAAAATTTCGGCCCGGCCCGGGTTTTATGTTTTCAGATCCGACTCGCATTATTTTTAAAAAATAATTTAACGGCCCGGGCCGATTTAAAAAAAATATATTATGTTTATTTTTTTTATAGTTATGACGATTTAAGATATTTGTCGGTACGGGTATATTTTAAAAAAAATTAAAATAGGGCCCGGTTCGGGTATTCGGGCCGAGCTTAGGGCCTGTTGGTATCTGGTTTACGCCTATCAATAGTATATAAATGTTGCTGCCAAATGTAACAAAAAATATGTATATTCTTGATTTTAAACCCATCGAATTTCGACAAAACGCTATCCCATCTAAATGTTTTTTTTTTAAAAAATCCCAATTTGGATAATATTTTTTTTTAAAAAATTATGCTTTATTTAAATGACGCAGACACAAATTTCAAAAAAAAACCACAATAGAAATAATAATTGTTTTAAAAATAGAAACTAAAAATTTAACCCCTCTTAAAAAAAATAATGGAATTGGTTTTACTCAGCTAAAGGGCTTAGCACAATATTAATAATATAAAACAAGAATATGTTTGAAAGAAACGCATTAAATTTTTGAAAATTTCAAAAAAAATATAAAATAAAAGGTTCATATGCATAAATAAACCTTAATATGGAAAAAAAACTTAAAAAATGTTGCTAAAAAAAAATTCGTATTTATTTATAAACCTTAATATCGAAAAAAAATTAAAAAATTTTGCTAAAATAAAAAAGTTGAAAAGTTCATTAAAGAAAGACATTCTAAAAATAAGTTTAAATTAAATTATCTTGTTATATGATGTCAAAAGAAATTTTTTAAATAAATTTAAAAGAAGGTAATTAAGGGTAAATATGAGTGAGACCTCCATCATTAAGTGACCATACTTATGTTTTAGTCAGTGTATAAAAATGATCAATAAATATAACATTCGTTTTCTTAATACTTTTAGTAAAAGTAATTAGAAAAACTAAATCTAAAAATTTAATACTACTATACTACAATATCAGTTATTCTTATAAATAAAAAGCTTTGTTTTCTAAACGAACATTTATTCTTTCATTCTTTTCAATTTATTACATATATTTCTTTCTCCTTTCTATTTTATTCTTTCTATTATATTTTATTATTTATTATTTTTCGAATCTTATAAATAAAAAGCTTTGTTTTCTAAAAGAACATTTATTCTTTCATTCTTTTCAATTTATTACATATATTTCTTTCCCCTTTCTATTTTATTCTTTCTATTTTATTTTCTTATTTATTATTTTTCGAAAAGCACAATGTAATATTTAACCTCTTCATTCATTGCACCCCAAAAATTTGAGTAGTGTCCCGATGTGAGCATTGGAGAGACTAGAGGTCTATAAATTTGTAATTATAAAATAATTTTGATCAAAATTTTAAACCCCACCCGGATTTGAGAAATCGGACCCGGGCTTTTCATTTTTGATCAATTTACTACCCAGCCCGGCCCGGATTGTTGGCTCTATTTTGTATATTAAACCGATATTGAAAAACACGAGCAGTACACGAATATTAATTAAAAAGGCTCCATTATATGATTTATACAACAGAATTTTAAACGACTTGATTTAAGCCAATTTTTATAAAAATGGTTGACTCAAGATTTTTAACCAAAAAATTATATATTACCGAGGCCTGGAGAATTTTAGATGGTATGAAAGGTTTGGACATCTTTTGGGCGAAATCTCGAGGCGTAGGTAATATTATTTTTGGAAGCCATTTTTAAAGGGCTAAATAGTAGTGTTGTTAAAAAACTCGATTCGGGTTGATTTACGGTCCGATTATAAGATTATAACCAAAATAGCATTATGTAAGCCTAAAGATTTTAGCTGGCAGAAATGATTGGACATCTATTTGCCATATCTCGATGCTTACATAATATTATTTTAACTAAAAATCTTAATCGGGCCTGAAAAATCGACAAAATTCGGGCTTTTTAACAATACTACTAGATAAAGCTTTTAAGCTACACTATCCAACTAATTAATTTATATGATTTTTTGTTTTTAATTTAAGTCGGCACACATGGAAAATGATTTTTAAAATTTTTTTTGTCATTAAATGATGATTTAAAACAGTTCGAAAAAGATAATCATTTTTATAAATGTTTTTAATATTTGATAACTTTAAAAAAAAAATGCCTAAGAATACTTAAGAGTTTTTTTTAAAGAGTGATATTTTCATTTTCTTCTAGGTGTTATAAAAACAAAGAAAAAAATTTGGATAAAACAACAAATTAAATAGAAAAAAACAAGCCTGAATATTAATTTTACAAAAAAAAGCGTAAAATTAGCAATAAAATATTTGTAGATTGTATTTATCATAAGAATTGTAGTAGTTTAATGATTTTTTTTTAAATATCCCTAGCTAAAAGGTATAAATTTTTGAAGAATATAACCGAATACAAAAAAATTTTTAATAGTAACATATTTTAAAATGTTTAAGTTTTAAGAAAATACGTAGTGGTATAAGTATGAGTACATTGAAAAAAATTAAAATATGTATAGCGAACAAAATCAGAAGACAAGTGATATCGGATCGATATATCGGCTGATATCAACTTGTTCCGTTGACTAAAATAGACCTATAAGTTCCTCACAGTACTTGGTTTCCCAAGAGAAAAAAAAACTAAGATTCTTCCTTTTTTTTTCTAAGTTAATTTAAAAGACGCAAATGTAAAATAAACTTTTTATTAAATTTGAAATAATAAAAAAAATTAACATATTTTGCCTAAAACTCGGCCTTTTTATACCTTATAATTAAATAAATAACAAAATAATTTTCTAAAATAAAATATTAGGACTCATCCTGAGTCTTACAATTCAAAGCCAAAATAAAAGAACACGCCGATGTTACAAAGCCATATTATTCCGCGTAATCAAAGTATAATAAAGATTATATAAAAAAAATATACAATAAAATAAAACGACGATAAAGCACTAAATATGACATCTCCCCCCTTCCCTACTCCAAAGTTCGAGCCAGGGAGATCTTCCCTAGGTCTGAAATAAATCATTGAGTTCCTGGGTATTTACTCCCAGGTCCAAATACTCCTCATGTGTGATCGCTTGCCGTCCCGGCCTCTCCAAAACCATGGGTCGTCTCTGTTGGGGCCATTACCCCTTTCGGCTCTGGCCTCCTCTGCGAAGGAATGGATGTTCCCTGTATGGTCGTTGATTGCAAGGTGGCTGATTCCTCACCTCCCACGCTGGGGTCCCTCCTCCGGGGCACAATACTTGCGGGCAATCCCTTCTGACGTGTCCCTCCACTCCACAACGAAAGCACTGTAATCTTGTCTCCCATCGAAACAATTTATAATATAAGCTAGAGATTTAAATCAATTTGATTTAATCATGCCAGCCCTAACTATAACTACAATCACTATTGTTTCAGCGTGGGAGGTGAGGAATCAGCCACCGTGCAATCAACGACCATACAGGGAACATTGATTCCTTCCCAGAGGAGGCCAGAGCCGACGGGGGTAATGGCCCAACGAGACGACCCATGGTTTTGGAGGAGCCGGGACGGCAAGCGATCACACATGAGGAGTATTTGGACCTGGGAGTAAATACCCAGGTACTCAATGATTTATTTCAGACCTAGGGAAGATCTCTCTCTACTACCCCTGGCCCGAACTTTGGAGTAGGGAAGGGGGGAGATGTCATATTAAGTGCTTTATCGTTTTTTTATTTTATTGTATATTTTTTTTATATAATCTTTATTATCCTTTGATTACGCGGAATAATATGGCTTTGTAACATCGGCGTGTTCTTTTTTTTGGCTTTGAATTGTAAGACTCAAGATGAGTCTTATTATTTTATTTTAGAAAATTATTTTGTTATTTATTTAATTATAAGGTATAAAAAGGCCGAGTTTTAGGCAAAATATGTTAATTTTTTTTATTATTTCAAATTTAATAAAAAGTTTATTTTACATTTGCGTCTTTTAAATTAACTTAGAAAAAAAAAAGGAAAAATCTTAGTTTTTTTTTCACTTGGGAAACCAAGTACTGTGAGGAACTTATAGGTCTGTTTTAGTCAACGGATTTTATTCTCCGGTTCGGCACAACGTCAGCGCAATATCAGATCGGTTTTCATTAAATTTGTGTTGGTACACTACTAGCTTTAGATGCCTAATTTACGTCGACAAAAGATTCTCCTCCTAAGAGATTTATTTTGAAGAATATTCAACCTCATAAGTTCTATCACATATCTGACAAGGCTGATCATTGCTAAATTCTAACTCCAAATTTTGATCGAGGGTTTCCTCCAGATTTACATTAACTCTTCTCCTTCCCTTTTTTTTAAAAAAAATCCTAAATGTATTTTTAATGCGATTGTAATTCATATTTGCTAGCCCATAATTCAAAGCTGGGAAATGTGATAGTTTTTTTTATTCAATCGTGGTGAACATTGTTTGGTTATTTACTAGCTTTCATCTTTAGAGTAATAACAATAAGCCGATGGTTCTTTTACTTGACCTATCCAGTTCTCACTGGCTAAAGGCAGGTTTACATATATACACTGATTGGCAGGTGTCACTATTAGCCCAACATGCTTCATCATCGGGGAAATAGGGTAAAACTGGTTCTCAGATTATATCTCTTTGATGTTCTTTTTTATTCTCTCTTCTTAACTAAAAAAACTAAATATTATTAACCAAAATAGGAACAAATCTATAGGCAGGTTGCGGCACTTCCCTTTAATATATGTCAAGCCATATATTTTTTGTTAGGAATATAATAATAATAATCAAACGGGGCGATATGTCTGGGGGGTAGCGGCCAGCGGCAAAGGATATTATTTTTTAAAAAAATTTTGTATCATAGGAAATAACGTTTAACAAATTTATTTTTTTTTAAAATATTTTTTTAAAAAAATAATAAAATTTGACCCATATAAGATAGATAAGCTTGAGATTTATTTTAAAAATCATTTTTTCCCCTCCTTTTTCTCTTTCATTCTATCTTTCTTTCTTTCATTCTTACCTTTTTCTAGTAGCGAAGAAAATTTTCATTAGTAAAAATGTCAATTAATTAGGTGTATATGTTGTGAAAAAAAAAATCATAAGGTATTAAATTGTAATTATAATATTTAACATTATATGATACGATGTAGTAGTAAAAAATATACTTAATTATATTGTAGAACAAAAGTTTCATTAAAAAAAAATTTACAAAAATTACCTCGTTCCACAATTTATTTTCCTCGCGTTTCTTTTTTAATTCTAAATCGTTTTTGATTTAAATCGCGAAGTAAATAATCTAAATCGTGAAATTCAGATAAGTGATTTTTAAAAGAAAAAAATATTATAATAAATAAAAATTTTTTATTTGGGAATTTTTTGAATTATAAATCCAAATCCAATAGCTTCTGTTATTATAATCTCTTTATATTTTTTTTTAAAAAACACAAAAGATCACGTGCATGTATACTGGAATACATTTCCGGTAAAAGAAAATATTCATATTTTAAAATGGCTTTTGAGAGTGATTTAAAATTGGGAGACTCTGAATCCCAGTGAATTCCATATCTTCGTAACGGCATCGTTATTCTATTTAAGCGCATTCTTTATTTCATCTTAAGTCATTTAACTTATTATTTCTTTAAATATTACTTACTTTATATATATATATCTCATCTTTAGGATTTATCCTTCTGTCTAGGGTTCCAAATTATCAGAGTTGTTAAGTATTTTTTTTTAAAGTATATGTATCTAGATATTATTAGAGGTATATCTATATCTATTGATTAGATATCTAAAATAGTTTTAAACTTATTCATATTTATATTAAATATCTGTCCCACGTTTCACTTTACCCAAATAGGTATTAGTAATGGGATAGGCTCTAAATCGCTAAAAATTGAGAATTTATCTTATATTTCCTAGAAAATCTTTAAAGTAAATTTGAAATTATATTATTAGATGATTACTAAAAATAATACCAATTTGGGAATCAAAACTGGGAATATGGATGATATTTCCTTCATTTATTCCCCTAGCATCTATTAATATTAATTTTAAATTTACTTTAAAAATTTTCTAGGAGATATAAGCGGATTCCCAATTATTAGCGATTTAGAACGGGAACTGTTTTTATGTATAAATAAAATATCAAACTGAATAAAAAATGTTTGATTTAAAAATCCCATAATTTGAGTTTTAACAATTTCCCATTTTGGCATTATGCGAACCTCACTTACATAAATGATTGTAACGAATGTATCTTGAAAATATATTATATCTGTATCTAGCTATATTTTTTAGCCATGTAATTGTTATTTCCATTTTAGGTCATATATCGGTATTTAGATACATTTGAAAGGTATTGAACTGCTGTCAGGGGTCTGCAGAAATCGATTTTCTAGGCCGGCTCCCGATTTACAATTTTTTCAGTTTTTAAACCCGAACCGACGGATTTTCGATTTTTTGCTTGTATGGGTTTTTAATTTGTTTATTTAAATTCGGTCCGGATTTTTAAACACTTCCATACCGGGTTTCGTAGTTATTAATATTTTGTTGTCAAATTAGATTACATCTTACTCATAAAATTATAAATAAATACATCATTATTATACATAATATGGTTAAAATAAAAAAAAATATCAATAAAATTTATTTAAAAAAAAATTAATTAAAACTATAAACAACATCTGGGAAGGGTGGAAGTGGAACAGCAGAATGGAATTAAAGGAAAATAAAATAAGATTTTTTAAAAAAAAAATATGTGTAGAATTATTTTCTATTTTTTTTGGGGGGGGGGAGAAAAAAATGTAATATTTTTAAATTTCTAAAAAGAACAAAAGGGAATAAAAATAAATAAATGCAAAGAAGAAAATGAAAAGAGAGGATAATAAAAAAGATAATAAATACAAAAAAGCAAAATAAATAAATAAATGAAAAGGTACATAATTTACACAAAAAAAGAATGTAATTATAAAAATTCCAAGAAAATTTTTCATTACGTTACCAACCTTATATATAGGGTCAAAAGACGCGAAAAAAATAAATATTATTTATTAATACTAAAAATGATAATGATATAATAATATCGTTCACTTATATTACTTCAAAAATTTGCAATATCAAGTTTTAATAGGATGTCTAATTTGGGAGGACATAGATTGCAGGCCAAACAATGCTAAAACTTTATTAAAAATTAATTATATTTTATTTTAGTTCGTGAAAAAAAATCAAGATATTTAGGATATTAAGATGTTATATAGGCCATTTCGCGAATTTGTTTTTATATTTATTAAATTTAAATGAGGTTTCTCTTAATAATCTAGGTTTGTTGATAAGATTTGTCCCACCAATTTTCTTATTCAACCAATTATATCCTATCCGACTGAACTCGGAATGACATTTCTTCGAGCCTTAGAAATTTTACAACCATAAAATTAATTATCATCATTCAGCGCTTACAATTTTTCAGATTTCGTTGAATAATCATCTTTTTCGTATAGAGTCCAATCAATCACAAAAAAAAGGTTAGATTGGGTAAGGACTAGATTTATAAAAATAGGTCCGATGGATGTCGCCATATATGTTACTTGATTAAAGTGTATCGACCTGGATACTAGAGGTCTATACCACTCGTTGTTTAAATTTTTTTAACCCGCCCGCCTATGCATTAATAGTTTTTATCAATATTCACCCGCTCGCTCATCTATCTAAAAATTTTGTTTAACCCGCTCAATATAATAAATCATTCGACGGTTTCCCAAATCGAAAGCATTTTCAAAAAAAAAAAATAGTGATTGGCATAAATTCAGGATCGATGTTAGAAAACAAATAGAATTTTTAAATCTGCGGACTGTTTTCGGGCTATGGGGCCGGTCTGAAACGTTTCATTTTCTTATTTAATATATTTTGTACGCTGTTCATGTTTCCAATTTCTCTTTTAAAAAAAAATCCGGGCTCGAACTTGTATTTTATTTCTAAAAATTTGGGAGGGGGGGGAATTTGATAAATTGTGTTTTTTAAAAATAAATATTATATATAAATTATAATTTATGACTCACAATTTTGTTCTAATAAGGAAATTCAACGTGTCAGGGTTGGTGATAAAATTATCCATATCTAAATACTAAAAGAATATGAGATGAGTAAAATAATGAATCATATTAAACTTCGTTTTCCTAGTGTTGATAAATGGTTCTATTTTTTAAAAACGGCTGACTGAATATTTTAGCCATAATAAATTACGCATGCCTGTAGATTATTCTCAAAGGTGGCAGAAAGGTTTGGGCATCTATTAACGCAATCTCGAGGCTTGCCTATTATTATTTTGGCCAAATTCTCAATTTAAAATTGGCTAAATCGAGCCGTTCAAAAACGTTAATTTTAATTTTTGTTTTTTTTTTTACTTTATTCAAAAAAGTTTCTATGCCATTTATTTTTAGCTAGAAATCAATGTGGTTTTTATAGGAATTCATATAGAGTACAGAATCTTAAAACGCTACAAAATTGAGAATAGTTAGATGGGGAGGTGGGGGGAATTCTTATATACCATTTAAATTGAATCATAGATGCAGCTAGGACTTTCCTATGAATGGGAAGGGGGCACTATCAGCTAAGTTATTCTGCTATAAACGTAATTAGAAGTCATTAGTAGGTCCACTTATTTTGGACATTAGGCAATGTTATATTTTTATAAAAATTATTTTGGTTTTTCACTTTTTTAAAACAATTTTTTTTTTAATTTTGAATTATAGTTATCTTGGAAAATTATTAACTTACACTTTTTATACATTGGGGGAGGTGGGGATTTATTAGTTTAAAATAATAATTTCCAATGGTAGGAGAGGGGATTATCAGTACATGCCTGAACTGAATGAACTAAGCTAAAAAAGACAAAAATAAACTTCACAAACACAAACCATATCATTCATACATTTATAGGTGTATTACAAATTATAAAAATATTTTTGAGTCATTTTCAAAGACGTTTTTTTTTAAATAATAAGTGATTCATAGAAAATTAACATGAATAATCTATTTTTGCCATTTATTCCTTTTTTTTCTCACTTTTAAAAATCTTCCTAATCTTACATTTGAAAATAAAATAAAAAGTTAAGTTGGACGGTTGGTTATAAATGTTTTTTTTATTAAAATAAAATATTAACATGTTATGTTGGCTATATGGCAGAATAAATTTTTATATGAAAGCACATCTTTGTTAAGAATGAATCATTCAATTGTACATATTTTTAAATATTTCATATATTTTGCTGAGAAGAAAAATTCGAAAGAGAAAAATGAGATAACCTGATTTTACCTGGCTACAAAAATCAAAATACTGCAATGCCACTCAAGCAATGCTTAATTTACAAAATTTATAATGTTAAATTACAGTTATGCTATAGTTTAGTGATTAATCATGCATCGCCTAAGGGACATTGTAGTTACTATTAACAAGGCTTTAGAGTTAAGTTATTTTAATAGAAACCTATATAAATTTAAATACAAAACATAAATAAATTGTGCATCAAATGAATTATCAGATGACTTACAAATATGTAATCCATATCAGAATCTATTGCATTTTTCAAGGCTTTTTCTTTGATTTCAATCACATTTTTATATCTTGATGCAGGCCAATCAAATGGGCCCACTTCACTTTCATAGTTTATTGGCTTATCTATTAAGTAGGAAATATTTAGCATAACAAAAAATAATAATTACCTTTAGTAAACAAACGAATCTCTGCATACTCATCTTGCACCTTGTTTACCCATTCTTTCAGAATACCAGTGGTATTATCTTCATTATGATCAGTCCATACCCTATTCCGAAGGAATGTAATTATTTATCTATTAATTTTACCATAAATAAATACTCTTCTTAGGGTAATTTAGATAATCGAGACCGTAAAAAAAATAGGGAAGAGTATGTTCTTTATTTCTAGCTAATAAAGGAATGACAACTTTTTGACATTTAGAATATTCAATGTGCAAGGCATATATGAATACGATTATTAAAAAATTTAGCACGTTTTTCATTAAAATTTAAATAACAGATGGTTGAAATATCAGATTGATTCACAAGGAACTTTAATTTCCGATTTTTTAAAGTTATAAACATAAAAATTTTAAATAAATTTTATGAGGCTGAAATATAATGATTCATAAAATTTTAATTATATACTCTATTTTTTTCTCTCATAAAGTTAATAAAATATTTCTGTGGGGTCGAAGAGAAATAGAGCTTTTCTAAGGCCAGATTCCAGTCTAAATTGAATTCGGGCTTAATATTACACTATGCTATACGTAAAAATAGAATGATTGTTAAATTTTTGTTTTTTATATGTGAACTGGTAGGCTCCTTACGTTGGGCAAATCTGGACCCCCCCCCTTAACTTTTTATCCCTGTTTTAAAAATGGTATACAATACAAAATAAGTTACAAATAGATGTTATTTTTAATTTTCAGAACTGATATAAATAATATAAGTTAAATTTTTTTAAAAGAAAGAATTTATTTGCTTATTGTTGTTTCCTTCTTTATTTACTTATTTTATTTTCTTTTGTTGCTAATCTTAATTTATTTTTTGTAAATATTGATTTTATTTTATTTTTAATTCGTTTTTTGTAAATATAGATTTTATTTAATTTTTTTAACTTTTTCTCAGAATTCCGACCTGAATGTGGACATAGGCATAGGGGAGCTGGATAGTATTTAAACCTATTCAACCATGATTAAAACTTTTAAAGTTTTTGTTTTGTTTTTTCATAAATCATAATTTCTATTATGATTTTTTATTTTATACAAAAAATTGTCTCCCTTTTTTTCCAAATTTATCACTTTCATAAAATAAATTATATTCCTAAAATAGATTAGTTTTCATCCAAATGTGAAACTTACTACGTGATTTATTTCACATTAATTTATTTGTAAATGTTTATATATTTTTTTTTGTAAATATAGTGCGAAATACTTGTTACTAATAAAATTAATGTTATTCCATGAAAATTGTATTGAATAATAAAGTAGGTATAAAATTAGATGGAACTAAAGTTTATTCTTTGTAATATATCATGCATAATAAAGCAGTTAAGAAATTGTGGAACAGTATCACATCATACTATAATTTTTACACTACAGTGACTGTGATTTTCATTTATCAAAATTATAACCAGAATTTTGTAGGAGAGAGATTGGATTATTTCGTTTGTTTTTTTCCTTCAAATTTTATAGGAGGAATGTAGATCCACTTTCAGATCTTTAGCGAGTTAACATTTTATATTCTAAATAGATTTTGTCTCTTTTTTTAATGCTTTTTTATGAAATTTTGAATTTTGTTAATTCTTTTAAAATTAACTTCTACTTAGTTATTTTAAAAAATTTAGTTTATATAAATGGGTGAGGGTGGAGAGGAATAGCACTGATATTTATGAAAACTGGGAAAGGGCAGCAACTCGCTCCCTCTCCTTTTATAATGCCTATGTCATATAAGTATATCATAGCAGAAATATATTCAAATAAAAGGAATTAAGTTAAATTTTTATTCAATAAGAAGTTAAAAAATATTTTCCAATCATTTTAAATATGTGTTGTGAAATTTTGTGATATCATTGACCTTATTTTATGTTATTGATGTATTATCTTATTACTATATAATTTAAATACTCACTAAATGTATAAAAATGATTCCTATTGTTATATAATAAATTTGAATATTATATATAGCAATATGTTTAAATTTTATATCACGCGTTCATTAAATTATCTTTACTTTTATAATCTGATATATTTAACTTATTCAAATTGTACAATTATACTTTTATTTTTACTTTTAATTTTCGTTAACTTAAACTTTTGATTTTTATTCTAATTTTTAGTTATAACAAAGATATATAAACCATGTGAAATATAAATAAAGAGAACATTTTTTATCTTAGACCATGCCATCTACACCTATAAATTATCTTCTATTAATTTGATAATTTATTTGATATTAAAAGTCTTTTTTATATCATATACATCGCTAATAAACAATTATAGTTTTATAAAATTTATTTTATTATAATAGAACTTTACCTACCAATTTCTAATTTTATAACAGCTTTCTCTAGTATTGACCCAAGAGGGTGGGAGAGTATTTATAGATAGTTTATATTATTCTTTGAACAGTTGGCTTTCGGCCTGATCCTTTGTTTTTAAATAATAAATAATAAATTAACATTATAAATTAGTTTTAAATGCATTAAAAATTTAATTAATAATTCCTTTTTAGGGGAGAGGGAGGCGAAGTGCTCAATTTAAATTCATCAAAAATAGTGTTTATTATTGTTCAAAAAATTTATTATTTTAAATGCGAATTTTTTAGATAATTTATAATTGAAACTTTTAACAGAGATGTTTAAGTATCTAGATATAAAATGTGGTATCTGTATCTAGATACTATTTTAAAGGTATATGTATGTGTCTTTAGATACATTTTAATATACGTTTATTTAACGCATTTTTATATTAAAATATAAATATTTAATGCTATATTCATTTTATTATGAGTATATAATTTAAATAAATATATATTAAAAAATATTAAGACTATAATATAAAAAATATATTTATAAAATATTAAAACTTACATAATTTAAAACTATATAAAATATTAAAATTTATATTAAAAATATTATAACCTATATTTAAAATATTAAAATTATATACAAATAGTTATTAAATATTACCCCCCCCCCTCCCCCTCATTTAAATCTATAGATAGTTTATGATTGATATTTATGTAAAGTAATATATAAATCCTTGTTTAGCCATGACACTATTAATATTAAAAACAATACCATTGATTTGAACCAAACATTTTAATTTCTATAATTATATTCCAAATTGATAACGTGCTAAAGATTGATTTGAATTGTGCACTAAAATATATTTTTTTAAAATAAATTAAGAAAAACTAAACAATAATTTTAAAAAGGGATTATCTCATTGTTTTTTTAAATGTTCTTCTTAAATTAAAATCCATTAAGTAGATAGATTCCGGGCCCATCTTCATTAGAGAAGATAAATTATTAAAGGCAACTCCATAATAATACCCTTTCTTTACACCCTTAGAATCTACCTCTCTGAATGACATATTGAGGTGCGCATACTCCTTTGTTTACGCAAATAAAGGACCCCATCCCGTATCAGGCCTCCAATAAAAAGGAATTATCTTATGATTTCTTTTATCTTCTTCTTGATTTAAAATCGGTAGGTAGATAGATCCCGTGCTCATCTTAACGAGGGAGAAAAATTATTAAAGGCAACTCCAAAATAATACCCTTTACTCCTTACCCTCGTAGGATCTATTTCTTTGAATGACATATCGAGGTGTGTCTATATGCGAGGTGTGTCTATATGCAATTCAGGGACCCTATCCCGCATCAGGTCTTCAATATATAGTTTGAAGTAATGTTGTATACGAACGCGTTCGTGAACGAAGTTCGTTTTTTGAGTGATGAACTTTGAAAGTGACATGTTTCTTTTTTTTTTTAATTTTGCGTTCGTTCAATTTTAGAAAATCTTCTTATTTCTATTTATTTGAAAATAAAAAAAAATATTAATTTAATATTAATCCAAATTTTTAAAGAAAAGAGGGTTATTTTTTGATTAACTGTTTTCTTTATTACATTTGAATTTTTTTAACCTACCACTATTTCTGTCCTATAGTATAGTTTATAATTTAAATATTATTATTTATAGATTAGCGTAAGCAATGTTGTGATATCATCATCATCATCTGATTCTGAATTACATTACCATGACCCAAAATAACAGTAACATCATATATTCAATAAAACTAATTCTATCCTGCCTGACAAAAATGTAAAATGTGTACAAAAAGTATATCAGATTCAAAATCTTCAAGTTCTAATATAAAGAGCTACATGATTGTGATATTTATTATTTTATACAATATAACTATATGTAACCTTTTATTTTAGATTGTTGTATTTCATAGGCTTATTAAATTATTATGATTATTATAATAGAAACATAAAGCTAAAATCATTAAATAATATATATTATATACATAGATATTATGTACATAGATATAAATAGTTAATGTACTTTAAAATATATTTATTTTTAGTGTAATTATTTGAAATTTGTTTTTATCAAAGGTTTTAAATTTTAATAGTTGAACACAATTTAAAGTATTATAAATTTACTAGCTGATAACCCGTCAAGAATGATGGGGAATCAGAACTCCTTATGGATAAATAATAAATGTTACTTCGTTTGACGATGGATGAATCAGAATAGTCAATGTGAGGAATAAATTATCCGTATTCATTCTTCTAAGATTTCTATATATTTTAGAGATAAGGCCAAATATATTATGAAAAATTTAGAATAAAATAATATGATTTGTGAGTTATGATATTTATCAATTCTTTTAACAAATTTTTCTCTCCCATACGCTATTGTTTTTGCCCTCCCACATCGTATAAAATCTTTCATCGGAATCATTTAAATGCTTTAAGACCTTCCTAAATATTCTTATAAAAAAGACCTGCCATCATAATTCGAATCAATTATGGGGCTAACCTGATTATCTCACAAACACTGTGGTGGTATCCACTCCATTGCAATGAGCTATTTAGAAAATTATTAGTAAAAATAATTGCCACGGGTCAATACCCAGGGTCGGGTCATAACTTATTAAGTATACGTATCAATTA